TCATCCACAGATAACTCATCCCATGCTAAGGGCCGTTCCACTTTGGACAAAAGCCTCCGCATTTCAGCATAGTACGCCTTGTTATAGCACAGACGTGGTCGCAGGAGGTCCCACTGCAAGTGCTCACGGATAACAAGATCGAATCCTATGACTGCATGGTCACTACTTCTCAGAGCACTGACTATCTGGATTTTTTCGACGAGTAAATGGTCACTAGTTACTTTATAATCTAGTTTCGATGACTTTCCACTAGGTCCCTGCACTACTCTTCTGTCGATTTTCATTAACCAATCATTGATCAGCCTCTTTTTGACCATAATTATGTGTTAACTTGCCTGAACAGTTAAAGTTGCCTGCCATTTTAACCACATTCAAATGTATCATTATCAGAGCTCTCGACGTCACTGCCTTTCGACTGCCATGTAGTTACTATACAGGCTTGATCATAAGCTAACTTTCAAGCAACTCCTTTCAGCTTAAATATATTTCACTAGAATTCGAACATTCGGTTGGCTGCGACCGATGGTTTCTGGATGTTAGGGAATCAGAAATCAAAATGTCCAGAGAAACCAGGGAACGGCCACATATTTGTATGGGACCGGTTGAGCTTATAGCATGCTACGCTATAACAGCCTTCGTAAATGCACCATGATCAATTACTCGCTTTGTCAGTACACTATTTGGCCAGTACGCAGTGATAGCAAGACAAAAACTGGAGAGTATAGGAAGTTATTTACAAATCAGTCATTGAAGTGTCACCACGCTTCTTTCTGTCATTTGTCTTCTTTCTCACTAAATTTAGCATAACAATGTCTACCTGAATGATACTAAGGAGAATAATTATTTGGCTATCCGCAATAACAATCAAAACGGATATGTAAACATCGCTGAACCCAGTTTCCGAAAGCACCTCACAAAAACCTTAAAATTTCCACTGTGATTCATCCTTCAAATCGGTAGCGGATAAGTATAATCATACCATCAGTCAAACTTAGTTACTTCTTGTACGCCACCAATAAACCGAGAAAAAATGAAGGATATCCAAGTATCAATGACCCATATGACGGCGATTTTCATCCTCTGTGTGCTTCACCTGTCATTTTATATTGAAGCCATTATCCGGATTACTACTTATGAACCGACGCCTATCTTTTAATTATTACTGCTGGAGTCGCAATACTCTTCCAGATGTTTGAATATGTAAGTGGCGCTTTGGTAGGCCACCTGCTGTTGCAGAGATTATTACCAATTAACCAGTTGATTCTTTACAAAAACAATTTTAGACATGCCCTACCATAACTACCATTTGTAACGCGGCGTTCAAATAATGTGCGCCTTTAACTATATTTGGAATTGTGATGAAACTCGAAATCAGACGATGTAAACTGCTTCTGCAGGTGTAAAGCAACTCTGTAAAAATTATTTTATTTTTTTCTATCATATGCATCGTCATTTTTAAGAAACTCTGCAGATCATATGGCATACCTCTTTTTCGAAGTGGCGCCATATTTGTCCGATGTGTATTAGCGAGTTTGGCAGCCTGTAGACGGCCGTAGGTCATTTGATCAGCTGATGTCCACTAGCTTTATTTATTGAAAAAACCTCAAAATTAGGTAATACAGTACAGAATACAGTATATGTAAATATACCTACATACACATAATTATACGTATATCCAGCATCAACCATGACGTTTTTATCATGATTAATCGGACCGCTGTGTATTACGTACTTATTTAAGGATCTCTGAAAATGATAATCAAGCGATAATTGAAGTTACATGAAGTTATCACCTATTCGGAACATTGCTTGCATTCTTGACACTCCTGTGAAGTCCTTAGATCTTGATATGGAATGAATTCACTGAATTCAGCAAATAAATCCTCTGGTATATAATTTCTATCATGAGCTGTAATAGTATGTGCTGTCAATTGTGCACCCGAATTCAGAAAACGCTCCTGGAAATTGCGAACTTAACCAAGCAGCTAAATGATGTTTGAAATTACCGCAGCTCGAATGACAAACTGGCCAATCACAAGCGAGCAAATCACTTGTTTATCTCACTCGCGGGCACACGAAATTACGGCCGTTGACAGGCTGCCGCGAGTTTCAATCAAAGGTCGAAATATACCAGTAGGATTTCCAGAGAATCCGAAAATATACATTTTACTATAGAACCTACTAAATCGTTTAACACGTTATATTGCACAGATATCAGTGTCAAGCGACGTTTTCTGATAAGAATACAGTGAATGTAGCGCAGTTCAAGAATGTAACTCCACTGATAAGATGTACTTCGGAAAAAGCCTTCGATGCAAAAATCGATTTAAATACCACAAAAAAAATCATTGAACCATCATAGCAACGTATTACGACGTTACAGTTGGCGGATGTATGCAATAAAGCCATTCATTCGCCATACATTTTTTGGGAAGCTGTAGATTTACATAAGTTTCATATGAAAAACTGTTTCAGACTATCGGCTTGATTGAATTTGTTGTTTTCCAGAAAAGTGGAAAGGACTATCACCCCATATTTCAGTTTGTCACCACAGAACAGGTTCATCATCATAGGCAGCTTTTCGTCTAAAGGTAAAGCCTTCAGATTATCAACAATCTGTCAGGATAGTTTATTACCCTCTGACCCAGCCAATCATAAGTGTGACGAAAATCATATAAATATGGTGTGATTTTCCTCAGTAAAAAAGTTCGTTACCAAGTCTCTTGCCTTCTCGGGTTACTACATATATATCGACCGCGGCGATAAAACAAATAATATTACCCAAATGGAGGTAGTTAATTTACTTGAATTGATGTAAATGTAGCACTGTGGAAGAATGTAATTCCATATAAGATAAGTTTATTTTAATAATCACACAGCGATGATGCAGTATTAACAACTGGATGACTAGGTTTCGAGCATAAATTATAGCTGTGAGTTAGAAAAAAAAACAACAGGGTGAGTTGGCCCTGCTAGACTCTAGAATAAAACGAAAACAAGATGGTCGGTGGTTAGATACTAGCATTTATAGGAAACTGACACACTCTAATAAATACTTAAACTTTAATTCATCCCATCCAGAATCAATCAGTAAAGATAGGTTTAGTCAAATGACCTGGAGGAGATCATGTGAAGAGGAATTGAAGGCGTGTGGGCAGACTTGGAGCCAGGTGAAAACTACAGCAGAGAACCGAACGCAATGGAGACGCATGGCTGAAGCCCTATGTTCCTCTAGGAATTAAAGGAAATAATAATAATAATAATAAATGTCTGTATAATCGGGCCAAGAGCCTAACTAGTAGGCCAGATTTAAGTAACGAAATCAAATAACACACTACCCACCAGAAATATATGAAGAATCATAGAAAAATTAAGATTAGTAATAGAAATGATGAAAATAACGAAAATAATGTGGAATTCACAGCCTCGAGAGCACTGCCTTATAAAGAAGGACGTCAAAGGCCTTACGTAGAATTCTCAATGACGCTGGAACTAGGGTGGCATTTAAACCAACCAACCAAACAACTCAGAGATAAATTTTGTTGGCCCAATAGATCCATTTAGGAAAAATAAAATAATTTGCCAAATACCATGTAATGACTGTGAGGCTAATTACACAGGCTAAACTAGTGGATCGGGGTCAACTAGATTATTGGAACATAAAAATGCAGTTAGGCCTAGAATGATGATTGACCCAGCTAAGTTAAATAACCTAGAAGAAAGATTCGGTCATTGCACTGCATTCACTTGTATGTAATCAACAGACAGTAGGGCGCGACAGAGTAAGAGTATTAAAAAGTAATGTAATTGGATGGAGAGAGAGAGGTTAATCACTGAAGCTTTGTTTATCGATTCAACACCGCACACGTGAAATCGGAATGACGCAACGCCTATACTGGAGATATGGAAAGTGGCGACAAACAACAAAGGGGAGTTGGAGATAGACAAAAAGAGAGAAAAAATATATATAAGACAAATTGTGAAACCATGTGACTAAATTGATATGATTATGAGCAATAATTTATGCTCAAAACATCACCCAGTTGTTAATACTGCATCACTGTGTGATATTTAAAATAAACTTATCTAATATGGAATTTATTGAATGTTATGCAGTTTCTGAAACAGATTTTGTCAAGTGACAGTACACAATAGTGCTTGGTTAATACGTCAGTTATTTAACCGTTGGACGCGTTAAAATTGTCAGTGATCAGGAAGGCGTTGTACTACTACAGTTCTCCGTATCCGACAAAATAGATGTACATTCACTTGGTAATCTTCAAATCTTACTGTCTATGATGTTTAGCAGTACTTCTCAGCAGTTATTTCCTTCCAGTTTCAAAAGTGTGTAATCCTCTGGGTTTACGCCGCACAATGCCTTCTACTGATTTGTTGTCATTAGGGTAGTTGTGTTCTCCAAGGTGGATAGTTGAGTTGCGAAGTTTTCATTCTTTTTCTAAGGTAAAATGGCGATAGGTAAATTTAAACTTCCTTAGCGCCAAACTGGCTAGCTCGGTTTCTATTGGTTGACTCTTATTTTCAGGCTGTTACTGGAAGATTTGCCAAAGACAGTGTGTGTAGATGAACAACACTTCCCCACCAAAATAAATTCATCTAACCAGACTGAAACATGCAAAACGTCAAGAAAAGACTTAATTTGAACCCTGAACACTAGTGACTACAACATAAAAAATGATGCATCAACGCGATAACACAATAATGACTTAATCCTACTTTTTCCTAGATAACTTCTTCAGCACAGACTTTCATATGAGGTGAACGTTTAGGGTTTATCGCAAGTTTATGAGTCATCGCCCCGATAACCTTGAACATGATTGGTTGATTCTAGAAGCTTGCCCACATTCTTGGTCCTTTTGTATACGTGTTGATTATTATTACACCAAATTCAAAATCCTACGCTACAATGGCGAAAATTTCAAAATCTTATCTCTGTTCAATCACTGCTTACAAGTATGCGTAGACAATCTACTAATGAGGATATATTTTTATAGCTAACCATCACCTTCGTTAAATGTAGCGGCAAATATTTCAACAAACCTTGAACTATTCATCTTTATTGTTTGTTTTAGTTAACTATCGTATACACGTAAGCTCTATTCATCATATGATTTCACAGACATAAAAGATAAGCTACCGGGGATCACAGTAACAATGAAAACGAAGAATATGTGAGTAGATTAACGAAACATTGTTTTACCAAAAACAAAACGTCAATCACAGAACAGCTCATATCTGGTGGGGGATGGGTTGATGGTGAGGATTAGGTGTTAGGTTAATGAAAAAAAAATTGAAATTTAAACAAAAGACAGAAAGAACTAGTAAGTACACTTAAATAAGGCAGAAAGTATCAATATCTGTACATATAATAATAATGAATTATTATAAATCAACTATTGCACTAGATTTCGACGATAATGTAGATTTGATGAGAGAAGATTTTAAAACACCTGGATTATCTGATAGTGCATAGTTATTGTTATTATTATTATTCGTATTATTGTTATTAGATACATTATTATATGAATTACTCTCCATTTGTAAACCATTGAATAAACCAACAGGTGGAAATGTTGGTAAAAATGTTGAAAAAATTGATGTTCTGTTTGAAGAAATTAACGAGCTACTTGCACCTTGAGAACAATCACCATTGTTTAAATTTGATAATATCTGTTTATTTTCATCTGATGGAGATGCCTACAAGAACAACAACAACAAAAAGTGGGTAAGAACAAACAGAGAAAGCGTGATGACAGCGAAAAAAGGAATACAACTGGATATGATTAACAAAAAAGGGTTATTCGCCAACGATATATGAAAAAGAAAACTTGATGAGAAGCATAAATCATAAGCACGCCAAGTTATGTACTACTGATTGAAAGATATGAGTAGTAGGGTGCAGTTCACATCAACCAGTAGTATTTGCTAGAGCCATAGAACTGATGTAAACACCAGACGGCCCTTTCGTTCGTTTGGGGACGAACTCATCAGCACTGTATCTGTTTTGTCTCAGCTTAGAGAACCAAAACTGATTCGGTTCTCTGATTTGAGCACTACTGGTCCACATGAGTGCTATTCAACTACTCATATCAATCAATTAGTAGTGTATATAGCGCCTTGCATTTGTATGCTTGCATTTTTCGTTGGCATTTATCAAGAGCCACGCAGTTCACAGATTGTGATTTGAATGATTTCGGTTTGTGGAAGGAACAGGAGTGAGATTTCACCGCCACGAACTGTGTAAACTGCTAATCGACTTAGTAAGTTATTACATATGGCTAATTTTGAAACAGTCAACCAACAATTCACTACTAACCATCCCTTTCTGAAATGGATCTTCTGAATTTCCCTTGGAAAGGTTCGAGCGAGTGGGTTTCATTGAATTGGATTAAAGGATAGATACCCTTCTGGATGACAGTGTAATGGTTATATTGTAAAATGATGAAAGTTGAGAAATTATAGGCCTCTAGATCTCAGCCTAATGATTTTATGAATAACTAATTTGCATGTCTTGACATGCTATGAGATAACCCCGTTGGGTGACTGACGAATAGCCTCAAACTAGGACGAAATAGTTACTTAGGTTTTAACACTTCACCGACTGGGAGGTCACTAGTCACATTAAACAATGTCTACACATTTTAAGCGTGTGATTCATTAACTAACTCTGAGGAATAATATATTAAAAATTAGTCAAACCACAGGAATCCTATATTTACGATGTGTATAACAAAATAGAAGTGAGTAGTGTGATGCGCGTAACGTTTTACAAACTGATTCTTACTGGTGAAGAAGTACTACTTAGTACCATGATATAGACAGTGATTAATAATTCATTTCAAATTAGTCTATTCACACACACAAAATAAACAATTTTACTAGTGCAGACTCACATAGAACCATATATTCCTAACAAATGAATTTTATCATGAACTAGTAATTAAGTATATATAATCATGTTAATGAATTAAAAAATAGAAAATGAAAGCATGTGATTCAGTGAAGAGACTCTTTTTCCAACGAGTTTATTATTAAGCTGTATACGAAGTGCAATAATTGATCATCTGGTTGACAGTGGTCATCTTATCTCTATTATCTCTCTTCGTTAAAGAAGTGAGCATATAAGTTATTGCAAAGCAGACTTAGATGGTTGGAGGCAATCGGCACGAAGCCTTGCTCGACGTAGGTTTCGTGCTAGTTGACACTCATCAGTCAGCAAGGCATATCTGCAACCTTCAAGGAACTCATGTCCCTTCCGAGATTCAAACCCACGTTACCCAGTGTTGCAGTCAGAGACGTTACCATTGAGCTATTCGGGCTCGCGAATAATCTCTTGTAGGACTATATAGGATACTAGTTAGTAACTAGTGTACTGTGTCTAGTCCTTTGTTTAGCACAGACTGAATTCTATCAGTCAAGTTTGCAATGTGAAACTGGGTGACGCGGGTTCGAATCTCAGAAGGGATATGAGTTCCTTCAAAGTTGCAGATACGCCTTGCTGACGAGTGCCAACTAGCACGAAACGCCTAGGTCCAAGGTTTTCTGTCGATTGACATCAACCATCTAATATCAACAATTCAAAGTGCACCGTGATGGAGAGCCACCTGGAATAGTGGCCACATTGCAAACTCGACTGATAGAGTTCAGTCTGCACCAAACAAAAGACCAGACACATTTACACTAGCTACTAACTAGTGTCCAATCAAAGTAAACTTAGCGCAATTTTCTTTAAGCCTAATTTAAAGGGTTAGACGGAGGCGGTTAGTTACGGTTTGAATTTCCTCAGGCAGTTGGCCTTCTATATGATTTTGTATTATGTGTTTAAAGGAATGCTGTTATGATAACAGATGTTGCTTTTGGTTGTTTTAAAGGTGTTTTATCGACCTGATTTTACACTGTTGGAATATCTGTTGTGGTGTCTGCTTTACATCACATGCGAAAATATCTAGCGGCAGTTTCTATCTCCACCAATTCAAAGTTATCTAAAAGGTGAGAACTAAACTGCTAAAATCATCATGCATCTGGCTCACTTGTGCTACTGAGGTTTTGGCCATCGAAACCAAGGCTCTGTATACAGAAGTTTGTTATTATTGGATGGTTGGAGGCAATCGGCAGGGAGCCTTTGACCTACGTTTCGTGCTTGTTGGTACTAGTCAGCAAGGTGTATCTACATGCTTAAACTAACTCATGTCCCTTCTGAGATTTGAACCCGTGTTTGTTCAAACACTTGTTTTTTTAAGTGGTTCTAATCTGTTTATGTTAAATTATTACAGTCCCCATTTCTACATAAAGAACATAGTGAAAACGGAGGTGAAGATAACCAACCAACAGCGACGAAAACCAGCACCAATCACCATCAACGGGAGAGGTTTGACAGAGGTACTTCCTTCATTTATCCAGCCATGAAGCGCGGTTTCAACTACAAGCGGATGGCATGGATGAAGATGTTAAAGCCAGCCCGAATCGGAAAGGCGAGATACGCATGCCTTCATCAATCTGAAACCAGTTTGGAATTCTTCTGCACTCAGCATAAGGAACAAGATTCGAATTTTCAACACAAATGTGAAAACAGTCCTACTAATTGGGTGAGAAACTTGGCGTGTTAAGAAAAAGAATTTCCAACAGGTTGAAGACTTTTATCAACAGCCACCCACTTAGCTGGCTCCAAAAAGAATTAGTAACAAGAAACTCCGGCCGCGAACAAACCAACCAATAGCCGATTGCTCAACAAATATATGGGAGAAAATGGAGATGGACTGGGCACAAGTTGAGAGGGCCATCAAATGACATCGTGCTCAATGCAGGCCATCACTGGAGTGGAATCCCAGTGGGAAGCAACGAGTGGATCGTCGTGCGAGGGTGACATGGAGAAAATCGTGAGAAGAGGAGGCGAGAGATTATGGTCAATCGTGGATCCAGCTGAAGAGGACAGTAGAAAATAGAATTAAGTGGAGATGTGTTGTTGAAGCCCTATGTTCCACTCGAAACCTAAAGGAATAATAATGATAATAGCAATAATAATCCGTGGTTTTACTGATTCACAACCTATTTCAGTCACTAAATGTTAACCTATGATTATAATCATAAATACTTTATTGTAACTCACATTATCATTATTATTATTATTTCAAAGGAAGTTCATATACGACTGATTATACACAGCTTGGTAATAAACTCGTTTTTTTTTATAAAAAAAGAGTCTCTTCACTGGATCACCACTTGCTTTCATTTTCTACACGTCTTAATATGAATAATCCATGAAGTGAGTAGGGCACACTGGAAAAAATAGGTACTTTAGAAGTTAAATGAACGAATACACATATACAGGAACTATCAATACAAAGTCTAGTAATTACTGTGTATACAGGATTTATGTTAATACATTCCACACTTATTATTATTTTATTCCTTTACGTTCTGAGTGGAACGCAACGCTTCAAGATGGAGCTTTGAAGTTCCAGTTGCAGTGATTTTACTTTTTTTTACGAGGGTGAAGGGTGGGTTTCTAGCCTCACGCCCAACCTTCTCCCTTTATTAAACTTAGTATCGTCTTAAAGAGGTTTAGGAGTGCGTTGGCCGAGTATCGAACCCCAGACCACGTGAATGGTTGAAGAGCATTCTACCGCTTAACGACCGCCACACACACTATAAACATGAAACTGACGACAATGATGAGATAGAATGTCAAAATACAAAAAGCAGAAAGAATCACACAAATCGAGAAATGAAATAGTACAGTAAAGATGACAGTGGGGTATGATCACACCCCCTACTGCGACACTATCATATCCCTACTATCTGTGGTCTTCAACACAAAGTTTTTGATGGTCTAACGAACCCTAACAAAGCAACCTACACTACTGTGCACAGTCAAGACTAACAGCTGATTACTGCATAGACTACTATCACCACCATAACCATATTTCTTTCAGCATACTGACACTAAATACTTTCACGAACAAGACATACTGAGGAAAAAGGATGGGTGGGTAGACAGGTCTTACATACCTCCCAGTCGGCAAAATTTGATTTTAAAGGAATACTTACAAAAATCGTAAAAGATTTCATTCTTAATTTCGGAAAATAGGTCACACCTTTTCAAGTGCAGAAAAGCACACTAACAGAATATTTGTTCAACACTGCTTGGTTTCTAGTCTTTTCTAAAATGAGTTTAGTTAGGAGTGATATCGGGACTTAGCGGTTGCTCAGTTAGTCATTAATTAATGCCAGTAATAATTTTGTTTCAACATTGTGTAGCGTTCACATGCGATTACTTCAAATGTGCTTAATATTCGAAGGAAATTGGTGGATGGTGACTAGCAGTGGAATCCAGGATGCGCATTTCGTCCTATTCTGGACTCGTCAACTGGATGTGCCTTAATATTTATAGCAATATTTGGTGTTGTGTTTTAAAAAATCAAATATATATATATATCAAGAAACATAATTTTCAAATGAGAAATCAGTAAAGATTTTTTAAACGTAGAATTTTCTAACATATTATTCACTAACTCTAATATGTATCAAATAAATTAACCACTTACCATGCAATATCTCTATAAGACTTAAGAATATACAATATACACCAACCTGGGTAATATATATGCCACTTATTATGAAGAAGTGTGATGATTCATTCACGTAAAAAAATTGAACAGAATAACATGATACAAGTTTATTACGTAAGTTCATTGTAAACTGTGTACAAAAGTGTAACAATTTCGAAGGTCATGGGTTCAATCCCCGGTGGGATCATGGATGTGTACATGCTAAGGAGCCCCAAACCAAGATGGAACAACTGTATAGCACTGCTTGCTTATTACTGCTTCTCTCTAACTGCAATCAGTTAGTGATTACACTTGAAATTTCGACAGCGACATACAATGATATTTATTTAATTTTTCTATGCACTAAAACAGTTTGAATTTTATTTTTTCCGACCTATGTGCATTCCTCTTTTTTCAAGTTGATTACTTGTAGCATGTGGATATTTTGAGTAGCGACATTAAAATTCAAGTGTTGGAATTTGATTAGTTTTAGGATTTCATCATAAAATTACATCGGTTTGGATCGGGTCAATGTGGTTTCATGGTCTACGAGCTCGTCTTATAACCAGAAGGTCCTGGGTTCGAACCTCAGTGGGTGCATACTAACGAAGAGTACCAAAACAGGACGAAACAGCTATCCAGTACTCGCAAGTTATCCAATGACCCTCTAACCGATGTCAGTTCAAGATGAAATCCTGAGACATTAAAATTGTTTAATGTTGTAAGAAGTTGACAACATGCACTGGAATAAAAGGACACCATATTATTCTGTTCAATTTTGGCTGACTGACTGACTGGTTTCAACACAGAACTTTGCACCGGTGTGCAGCAGTTCGAGTTGCCACACTCCATGTAGCACACGAAGCAAGAGAAGAAAAGTGAAAAGAAATGCCAAATAGAGACAGTAAACAGAGATGAGGCGAAAAGAATAGTAATATCGAAGGACAAAATAGTTTTATTGGGTATTATAATTCACAAGGAGTGAATGCATCTGCGCCAGCCATTGAGAACGATTTTCAGCCATATCACTGATTGTCTCCAGACATTGGCGTTTACCGTCCCGAGGATCCCAACCAGGGAGTCAACATCTTCTTACGTGGCCTAAACTAACTGTTGTGGATTTCATTGACCGATGAAGCCATGTTTTCACTTGATCACCACTACCTTTCTCTTTTCTAACCTGATCCTATGTCAGTCAGCTAACATTGCCCATTGTTAAGGAAGGCGATGGCTAGGCATGCATGCGTAACACGTGCCCTAACCATCTCAATCGATGTGGCTGCTGCTTCACAATCTCGTCGACTGATTTCCCCTCCTTACCTAGCCATCGACCAACTCCTGACCTCAATATTGCTCACCCTATTATACTTCTTCACACGGGAGGTAGAACACAGGCACCTATGATTAAAGACAAATATCCTTTTCGTATCTTCCACTTCCAATGGCCATGTCACGCTCACATCCACCAAGCAGGATGGAGCCGACTGCTGAGCAGTACACATGCCCTTTGGTCGATAGCGGGATATCACATCTACTCCACAGAAGGCGTAAACTGGCATATGCCCAACGAGCCTTGTGTATCCGTGCTGAGATTTCGTCAGCGATCAACCCCCTGGCGTCGGCTGATGCAACTTCCCAAAATAAGTGAAGTAGTCAACGTGCTCTACCACTTGACTCCCTATGTCTAAGCTAGGAGTTAATGTAGTCCAGTCCAGTCCTGTAGCATAATCTTACATTTAGCGGGAGCGAATCGGATGCCAAACATTCGCAGATTGCAGCTCAAGATGTTCAGAAGACTCTGAATTTTGTCAGCGTCACAGGGACTCGGACAAGGGTGCCATCATACACGCCTCAAATCAACAGTTAAACAATTAGTGGGCTGACCACTTTTCCAACTTAGTCCTATTTCAACTAACATTACTCGACAAAGAAGGCGAAAGACTCGGGCATGCATAAACACGTCTCTCAGTTATCTCAATCTATATTTAGCTTCAAAACCTAATCGACTGACTTCCACTCATTGATTAAAAACTTTACACCTTACCCTCATTATTACTAAGCATATTATACCGACTAACACAATAGACGAAAAACGCAAACACCTATGGTCAAAAAATGGCCAGCCTCTTCACTTTCAGCGGCCAAATCTCACATCCATGAAGGGTATTTATCATGGACAGATTTTATCGATAAAGGTTTTAATTAATTGGTTAACCTGAGAAACACAATTATACATGGCTTAGAAAGAAAGACAAAGAGTGAACTTAAAGCTGTATGCACACCTACTGTGCTGCATTCAAATTCTCCAAGACTTGTGCATATCCTATAGATTACAGAGAGAATCCAATTAACAGGTTTATATTGTCGATCGATGTCAATTTTAATTCATCTCTTTCAATATGATGAAACTGAGGAGTATTTAACAACGTAATATCACATACCGACCGATAGTTGCTACCTTGCATACCAGAATAACCCAACGAGCTACACTAGTTGGAAATGATGTCCATGCAAGTCCCACCATGCTAGAGAGGTCATTTGGATAGAGGTAAGACTAAAAGCAGTTGCCATAACGGTTGAATTTGCTCACGCTATGTTGGGGGATCTCTAGGCAACGTCGTACTGCTGTCGAATACGGATTTGACAACAGTAATTTGTTCGTTCCTCTCAGACGACCAGCAAACCAGCGATGCTGCCTTTTCACTTTGGTAAGGGTGGGGGGTTAGAGAAAGTTGACTCCGAAAATCGTACATAACGACTTAACTTGTGATGTTCAGAAGCCAGTGGCAAGATCTTAATGCGGAGATAACTTCAAAACTAACAAAAAACAAGCCATATGCGACCGACCTCAAGCAGTTGTCCCGGAGCTCTGTAGTTACGAAACACTAGTGCTCCTTCCATTTCAGGTATTTTTTAAAAAGAAATCAATTTCTACGGTGTCAGCAGCTAGGATGTAATAAACGCCCACACACTTTCATGAGCACACAAAGCTGTCTTGATCACCAACCACTTTAAAATAATTTTTGATTGGTTGGAGGATTTCATCATGAGCTAACATCAGTTAGAGGACCATTGGAAAGCCTGGGAGTACTGGACAACTGTGAAATCCTCCAAACAATCAAACAAAATCTCTACGAAACCAATACTTTAAAATAATGTCACACATACTGCTTAGTGGACAAAATTGCGTTTGGTTCAGTGAGCTACATTCATATATTCTATGCAGGGATCACAAGAATATATATGATATGCCCTTCACAAAAAGTTTTCATTCATAAAAAAGTAGTTATACTTTACAGAAAAGTATATTTTGTACTTACAGGTCGTGGTAATTCTGATAAGAATTGATTTGGATTAGCTTGAAGTAATCTAACTGCTGAAATACAGTCTTCTTTACAACGATCCTGAAAAATTTGTCAAAAAGTAAACAGATCACCATAATTACATATGAATCAATATACATTTATATGATATACGCCTGAAGCTTTGTGGTTGTTGTAGACATCACTACAGAGGATATCGGATATACGATTGCTATCTCTCTTCTATTTTTACTGTACATCTATTGAAGTGTCAGCGGTCAAACGGTATCACGAAACTTAGCCAAGTGGGTGTGTTTGGGTTTTATATTTGCTTACTGTAATCAGTGCTTTATAATACAATAGTTTCTGGGTATTCTATTTCAACACACAGATTATAGGCTGAAAGCACTTTATCTGTAAAACCTATGATATGCAACATGGCTTTAGTCTAACATCATTGGTAAATAACTGAATTTACACTTAATTTAACCGACTTAAATGGAATATATTAATAATAGCAATATATATTATAATTTCCTTTAATTCCTAGAGGAACATAGGGCTTCAGCCACACGTATCCATTGCGTTCGGTTTCCTGCCAACGTTTTCACTTGGCTTCACGTCTGCCCACATGCTTTAATCTCCTCTTCACATGACCTCCTCCAAGTCACCCTTGCACTGGAAACTGACTCGCCGTTTCCCTTTCAGGTTCCACTCAAGGGCTAGTCCAGTAGTGATGTCACCTGATGGCTTCCTTAGAGTATGGCCAATCCATCTCCATTTCTTCCTGCCTATTTGTTGCACAATCGGTTCCTGGTTGGTTTGCTCCCACAGGTCCCTAGTGCTGATCTTTTCTGGCTATCTGATCTTGAATATTGAGCGAAGACAGCTGTTGATGAAGGTCTGTAGTTTGTTTGATGTGCTCTTTATGACGCGCAGTGCAAGTCTCTAATCCATCCGTATAGTAGCACTGACTTCCCATTGAAGTTGAAAATGCGGACCTTATTTTTGATGCTGAGTGCTGTTGACCTCCACACAGACTTAAGAGTGGTGAAAGCTTGTCTTGCTTTGATATCCCCGCCAGTTCCGCCTGTAGTTGAAACGATGCTTCCCAGGTAGGTAAAAGAGGTTGTTTCTTTCAGGTTCCTCCCATTTATGCTGATTGTTGTCTGTTGTTGTTGCCATTGCTGTTGGTGGTATTGTCCAGGAATCTTCATCACCTCTGTCTTCTCTATGTTCACCTGAAATCCTTCCTATCTTTGATGCTTTTTCTGCCAACTTATTGCTCTTCGCTTGCATATCTTCCAGTTTGTGGGAAATCAGACACATATCATCGGCGAAGTCCAGATCCTCCAAGTTTTTTGTATGAGTCCATGTTATGCCTGTTTCCTCATTGCCCGCTGTTTGTCGCATTATCCAATCTACTGCAATCAGGAAAATCGCTGGCGATAGTAGGCAGCCTTGTCTTACTCCTGTCCTCACTTCGAAGGATTCCGTAAGTTTCCCGTTGTGGATTACTTGGCATGCAGCATTGTCGTACAACTGTTGGATAAGAAGTATGATTGTCGATGGCACCCCACAGTAGCGAAATAGTTGCCAAAGCACCTCTCGATCGACGCTATCGAAGGTCTTTTCAAAGTCAATGAAGTTGAGATAAAGAGGTGACTGCCATTCCAAACTTTGTTCAATGATGATCCGTAGTGTTGCGATTTGATCAATACATGACTTCCTTCCCCTGAATTCAGCCTGTTCCGGTCGAATTTTTTCATCCAGGTCTTGTTTGATTCTCTCCAGGATGATGCGGCGAGAATAGAATTTAATTGATGGATGGTGAATAGCAGTGAAATCCAGGATAACGCGCGTTTCGTCCTATTTGGGACTCGTCAGTTGGATGTACCTGCATTCCCCAGTCGGTGAGTGATGATGTTCCCACTGAGGTTCGAAGCCAGTGCCCATAGTTTTAAACGCTAAAGCGTTATCTACTAGACAGAGCACTTCGGTTCAATCAATCGACGGGAAAATCTACAATTCAATTAAATATAACAATATAGGTATATATTCACCTACAAAAGAGTCAGTAACGACTAGTGGACTGGTATTCATCTGAAAAGAATCTGAAGCATTGCCTGCTAAGAATGATGAGAATTGATAACTATTGAGAATCACTGTGACTGGATATTTCTTACAACTTAATTTAGGACGATTATCAGATGGTTGGAAGTAGTCGGTAGGAAGACCTGTATGTACGTTTTATGCGTATTGGCACTAGTCAACAAGGTGGAACTTTGAAGGAACAGATATATGACACTGATTACAACCAAGTCCCCAGTGTTTATATTACAGTCCAACAGGAGGTCAATTATAGGCTCAAATATCTCAACGGTGACATCTCTGACTGGCGGTTACTGGGTGAGACAGATTTAAATCTCCGATGGAACATCATTTCCGTCGGAGATTACACGTACATATTACTGACGAATATCAATAAGCAAAACACGTAGTCTGATGACGCCCTACCGACTGCCCCCAATCATCTAACAAAAAATCAAAGCGTATGACGATTGACATTCTCCTGGACTGAGGACACATTGCAAAGTTGATTAGTGAAATTCAATAAGCACCACCAAGGGTTAAACCGGTTACCAGTGTCAGTCACAAATCAATAAAGTTTAAGACTTCTAGATACTAGCAAACCGAGAATCTACTTAATCTGAATTCACGAAAAAGTGGTTCTCGCAAGAATCTCTTTACCAACCAACAGGTGTTTGCGAAATTTGGGCTACCGATATCCATGCTGAAAATGCCATACTTGTACTGAAAATACGGTGTGGCATCAAGCTGTAATCAAAAAAAAAAAATATGCCCCCTCCCCCAGGTTACATTACACTGCCAGCAGTAGTCGAAATCACTTTACCCGGTACCTGACTATGAGGCACACTGATTATGTAAGGACCGATGATACTACCTAGTTGCTAAAGCTGATATAGGTGAAGTGAGGTTCGAAACCACAACAACTAAAAATGGCTAAAATTCGAGTTACTCACGCCAATGAGACCATATCTCCTCGCATTAAACTCTACACAGTGACCCTCATTAATTCATGAAGAAAAATAATGACAGAAAGCATATTAAACCATAAACAGACCAAATTACTTTATAGAGTTTGTATATATAATAATAATAATAATAATAAAACAAACTAACCCTTTCTTGTGTAATAGTATTTAAGGATTGTTGAGAGTGCCTTAGAGCATTTTTAGTCGATTCCAATTCTTCAGTTAACTGTTGTATCTCAGATGTTGACTTCTCGATCTAAGTAAGAAGTATCACAAGCACATACGCATACGCACATACACACACGCGCACAAGCATGCACATACATACAAAGAGAGCAGAAAAAGAGATAAACCGATGAAATAGAAATATCAATAAGCTGTAACATAAACGGCTTGATCAATCAATACATGTAGAGAGTAAACACCTTTAACGCTCTCTGATGATACAGAAGTTAAATAAATTCATACATCAGATGACAGCAGTTTAACAAGATACTATCTGAAAGAAAAGACGTCCAGCGAAGGGATACTCTTTCCAGGGATATCATTCTCAAACTGTACAATCGCATATTATTATGGTTTCTTTTAATTCCTAGAGGAACATAGGGCTTCAGCCGTGCGTCTCCATTGCGTTCGGTTCTCTGCTAGAGTTTTCACCTGGCTCCAAGTCTGCCTACACACATATATAGGGAATATTTCTAAAGAGGTGTCACTGAAATTGCGAATTTTTTTAGACAACGGATTACGTATCATAAAAAAGTGGCCATCGGGTAGAAACTGAAATAAAATAAAGTAAGTAGATTGAGTGACGCAGTGTAACTGACGGGATTAAGTAGACTTCAACTTAAAATTGAGTGACAGTCAAGTTGACAACAGTAGTAATAAGTGGAAGAAATATAATAGGGGGAAGGGGGTGAGGGGAAATAGTACAATTGAAAAAAATTACTGATTCGGTGTTCAGAGAGATAAGAGGTCCATTGTACACATTTATTGGCTGAACATACTTCTTGTGTATACAGAGTTCGAGATTTAACAGGTGAATTGCTATTGCTTCTATGGTTTGAAAAAGTCTGATTAACACTTTTTATATTATGTAATCTAATCTGTCTTCGGCTAAGTGAGCTTTCAATTTCTTTCAGATGTCAGCTTAACGAGCTGAGAGTGAAACGAGTTAGAGCACAGAACACTGACGATTTTTAGCTAGCTAAACTGATTTCTAAAGGGCTCTGATAAATGTTCTAGGCATAAATCAATGTGCTATATACACTGTTCAACTAACGTGAATCTTATTTATTACAAATCAACTCTTGAAAATTAATCTGATGGTCGCCAGTGAATTTCTATAGGACGGAGTTTCTTGGAGTTATAGTGAGAAGTCGTGACCAGTGAGGTCCAACCAGTCAAGTGTGAGGATGGCGTTCCCACCGAAGACAGTGGTTGGTGGTCACGCTAAATCACAAATTGGTAGAAGTTAGAATTCATGGGCTGGTCCATTGAATCGGGTCCCAGTGGCTGAATGGTTTACGATCTTGCCTTGTAACCGGAAGGTCCTGGGTTTGAACCCTGTCGGTGGGTGCGTACTGCCTATGAGTCGCAAACTAGGATGAAACAGCTGTCCAGTACTCCCTAGTTCTTAATAGTTCTTTAACTGATATTAATCTGTGATGGAACTCGAGAAACAAACCTAATCCTTACAAATCAACTCTTGAAAATGAATCTTATTGCTGGGAGAGAGTGAAATGAGATTTGTTTTTATTTTCCAAAATATTTTTCATATCAGGGATATTAAAGATAACGGAAAAATATGCATAACATATGTAAATATTGACCAAATCATCAAATGTTCTAAGATTGAAGCACTTAGGAGAAGTCGATGTTCATAATTAACAGTAGACTTGCATCGACAGCTGCTTTAGCTCCGTGCTGAAAATCAGATGGTCGACCAGAAAGGATAAGCAACAAGGAACTCTGATGGCTAACCAACTAAGAAAGTATCGCCGAACAAATATGCCTAGGAAAATGGAGATGAATCGGAAATACACTGAGGAGACTGTAGAGTGACATCATACACCCAGTCTTTGAACATAACCCGAATGGGAAGTCTGAGAGTGATCATGTGAGGAGGAATTGGAAGCTTATGGACAATTGTGGGGGTAGCTGAAATAGATCACAGAGAACACAGTGAAATCAAGATGTAGCACAGAAGCCGTACATTCCACTCGGAACCCTAAGGAATAAAAAATATAATATAACAGTCTTCATAACATTCCAAAAATACATTGTTGAACCTTGAGATAATTTAGTGAAGCATATTAGCAAACAAGTAGAAGAATAAACGGTAAAACATGACTGTTGAATAACTGTAGTCTAAAAAGGCCATGTTTGCCAGACATAGGTGACAAGTATGCAAACAGAAGCATAGAATATCCGAGTGATATCAAGATGACATTAACATTTAAATTAATGGGAGATTTCGACGACCTGTATCATTTACTAAAAGACAAAAAAGTCTACCAACTCACTGATGGCTACTGGATGGATTTCCTGAAGTTGCAGTGGGAAATGGTGACCAGTGGGGTCTACCATATTCTGATGAAATGGTTGCTAATCGACGGCACTGGTGGAGACAGCACAACATCACAAATTGATGAAGTTAGAATTCACACGTCATTGAATTCCCATCCAAGTGGCTGAATGATCAACGAGTTCACCCAGTAACCTGAAGGCCCTGGGTTCGATTCCCGGTGGGGTTATGGGTGCATAGCACTGAAGAGTCCTAAACTAGAGCGAAACAGTTGTCCAGTACTCCCTTGGCTTTTGTGTCGGCGGTTAAGTAGTGGAACACTCGTCACCCACGCACGTGGTTCGGTGTCAATCCCCCGCTAACACACTGCTATACCTTTAAGCTAGCAAAAAAAGGAGCTTTGGTGCATAGCTAACAACCCCATCCTATTGAAAAAAACCATAACTGCTACTGAAACTTCAAAATTCAAGCCTTAAGACCTATGTCCCACCCAGAAAACAAAGGAATGACGAAAAACATCCAGTACAAATCTGTCGTTTTTAGACGAGTAACGAGTTTAATAACAACCATAATAATAAAAGTAAGGGAAACAGAAAATACAAGTAAATAAAGACTAAATGACAATTACAAATAACCACACCCTAAAAAGGAACAAAATAATTATTGATTACTCTGAAATTGTCAACAAAATGTATCTTTGATATTATTGCAGTTAAGTGTTAACGCCTAGAGTCATCAAAAAACACAAAAGCCAAATCTTGAAAGGAATATTGCTTCCATTCCTTTTCTTCATCTAATCTAAGAGTCAACAAACAATTACAAAAGGTAGATGTCATTTCTATTCTACACTGAAAATAGACTTGTCAAAGCAAGAGTATTAAATCAAAGGCATATCTTATGACTTCGATTTCAAGTTTATAATCCCGGCGGCTAGTTAGTTAGCATTGGAAACTTACTTTTTCTGTTAGTTATAAATCATTCCGGAATAACATCAACACTGAATGTGGATATGCGCTTTCATCTGGGGAGCCTATCAGTCACTTTAGAGAGTTAATATTAATGTCTTCTGCAGAGTATCACTTTAATGTTAGGTGGTTGGAGGCAATCAGCAAGGAGCCTTGGCACGCTTGTCATCATTCATCAGCAAGGCGTATATACAATCTTGAAGGCTTTCGGGTCTCTTCTCAGATTTGAACCCGCATCACCCAGTGAGTACTGCAGTCGGAGACGTTGCCACTGAACTATTCGGGCTCATGATTGACCTCCTGTAGGACTATATTGTTTACTTTTGATTGAACACTAGTCAGTAACTAGTGTAGTGTCCTTTGTTTAGTGACGACTGAATTCTATCAGTCAAGTGTGCAATGTGGCCACCATGTGGGTTCCTGCCGATTGCCTCCAACCTCCAACAATTCAAAGTGCACCATGATGGAGATCCACCTAGCACAGTGGCCACATTGTAAACTTGACTGATATGATTCCCTCTGCGCCAAACAAAGGACTAGACACATTACACTAGTTACTGACTAGTGAGTGTCCAATCAAAGAAGATCATTTCACGATTCACTTTCAATTCAATAAACTAAAAAGTTCAATTAAAGTGAATTGACTGCGTTATCCGTCATCTTGTGAATATTTCTGTTGAGATATTTCGTTGAAAATAATGACGATCGATTGGAATAACATTAACTGCTAAGTAGGAGGTGGGGGGGCGACAACTATGATCAGTATGAGAAATATTCTTGTAAAAACACTAAGAAACAAAGACTCATACAAAATAAACATGTAGGAATAATTAATTATGACGATTTCACTAGTTAAACACATTAAAAAAAGCTTACATAAAATGTATATACGTTTAACTAATTAATATACACGCAAGTATTTCAACAATGTTCATAGAATGGAATGATGGTACATACTACTGATTGTATGAGTAGGCTGAAACAATTGACGTCATGTAATAATGCGTGTAATAGTGCGCGCGATCAATTTGATTTATAAAACGGATCAGTCTTTCTTCTTGTTTAAGGCTAAGCTCATCACAATCAGTGTGGTGAACACAGTTCAGCTCTCTGCTCAGACAGGCGAGCTACCCAAATTCTCGCTAGCTACTTGATTTAGTCATTTGCAAAATACAAAGTTTGAGGTGACTAGTTATAACAATTTCTCTTGAAAACTAAAGAAAAACAACAACATTCAATCACAATTTGTACAACAGTTTTGATGACCTCGACTACGAACAGATGAAACACCTCTCCTCTCATGTTTAGGCCACTTCGATTTAACTAACAAATACTATTGCTTGGATGAGTTGTTGCTACCTCAACATTATGAATTGTCATCTGCGCTATTGAGGATCTTCAATGGAGACTATGGTGAATTGTCGCCACGGAACGTGTTATTCGCAAGAAGCGAATTCAAACATCTACAGAAGGATTTTAATCAGTGTTTTTTTTTCAATAGGAATTATCCTATGTACCAGCCTATAATCAACATGAAATATATATATATATATTCTCCCATGAACTATTGATGAGAACAATTTTGAGAAGAACGTATGTAACTGTTACAATTCTGAGCCACCTAGAACAGATTTCCAAATCGCATCTATTGTGCGAGACCAGATTAGTACTAACTACTGTTTTAGACTAGACTCTAGAAGATATGGACTCTGTGAATGATTCATGTTTAATGTTACACAAGCTGGAAGATCTACAGGTGAAAATCAA